TAGAGAAAACTAGTGTTCAGACAAGTTACATGTCCAAACCAAGTTTAATACAGCTGATAAGTTGCTAGCAAGTAGGCAAACCTTTTTAGAAAGACGTGATAGTAGCAGTAGCACTCTGTATGTTCATGGCGGGCCATTACTGCATCAGTTAAGTACTTCACATTGGTGGATTTATTTCAGGATGTGGTAACCTATTATGAAAGTCTGGAAACTTAATCTTAAAATGTTCTCAAAGTGTTAATTTAAATGAACATAAAAATAATATCAGAATGGCAAATTATTTATGATAGAAAATATCTGTGACAAATTATTTCCCAGTATTCCAGCTAAATGGGCAGGGATGTCAGTGGATCTGTATCTATATCTACATCTACCTCTATGTATCTATCTTTCTCAACATACATATGTAGAGAGAGACAGAGAGAGATCCTTACCTGATTGCAATACACCACACTCAGCCATCACTGAAATTCTGCTCATGATTCAGAAAAGATTAAAAACGACTACATTCTTCGAGCTCAATTACTCTATATACTTATTTAAAAACAGAAAACATGGATACTGTGGTAATTATATAATTTCATGTCAACTTGAAGATATATAACAGTGTAGGTATTCAACCTGTCAATCAGGTCACAGCCTGATGGTGCCTCCTTGTGGGCGTGGCTTTCTCATAGGCACCGCCCTCTCTCTCTGCCTTGACCATCCTCTTGGCAAGCCACTCTGAGACCTGCTAGAGCCCTGGAAATGCTTCCACTGCCATTGGATCCACACGACTTTGCACGCACTGGCCTATGATATGCCTGAGTTCTACATTATTGCTTGTGACTAATATTAGACTTATGGACTTGAGCTGGGCTGGGCTGGGAAGTTTTCTCAATATATAATTATTTCTTGATATAAAGTTCTTTCTAATGCATTGTGTTAGTCTGGTTGACTAGAAAAACAAATTCATAGACACTCATCTGTGTAGAAGAAAAAGCTTTATGTAAAAGAGTAATTTTATATTAAGAAAACATCCTAACCCCGTCCAGATCAAGTCCATAAGTTCGATATTACCCTGTATGTCGATACCAGTCCAAAAATTCCTCTTTGGACTCACACAGCCATGCAATAATGCCGAATACAGGAAGATCACAGGCCAGTGGGTGGAAAGTCTTGTTGATCAAGTGGCAGTGGAAGCATCTCTGCACTGGAATGGGTCTCCACGTGGCTCCTCTAGCTCCAGGGCTCTGGGTCCATCAGCTAAGCTTCCTGTGTCTTGTCAGCAGGAATGTGTAGCACAGAGTGTATCTGGCCTCCAGTGAGCTATTTATCTCCTTCACGCCTCCAAATGAGGTTAGCAAGCTGCAACCTGCTTGACAATCTAGACTCTACCCTTCGCAAGTTGACAGGAGATTAAGCAACTGCAACAGACCACCCCTTGTCAACTTGACACTTTTACACAACTCTTTTTCCGTTCATAATTTCTAACAAAACAATAATACTATCATATCTATACCTAACAGGATAAAACTAAAATGCATGCAAATCAATATGTGCCAAAGCCTGGTTTAAACATGATATTCTATAAGAGAAGAATAATATTCTATGCCTAACAATTGCAGTTAAGTAAAACCTACACCATAATCTTATAATCCAATGAAAGTTTGTAAGCCAGCCACTTCATGCCTTTATCTGCCCAATTTTGGGTATCCAGTTTCTATATTGCCCACTGATATTAACCCAGTGCTCTAAGACAATCATATTCTTTGATGTGAAGAATCTTCATTCCGGTTGGAACCTTGTGAGTCTGCTCCATAAGCAAAGTAAAATCCGGACAGGCCATGTATAAAGTTGGCAGCAATATGCACTAGTTCACAGGCTCAAAAATCCTCTCTTTGTCTGGTTGGGTTCTGGTCAACTCAATGTGGGCTGCCTCACTTAGCCTCACCAGGGTGCCCATTGGTTGCCTTGCCTTTCGACCATGAACCCTGTCATAAATTCTCAACAACCCTAGCCCCCTTGTGCTAGGTCATGAACTTCAGACAAGTCAACCCGCTCTCATCTTCTCCTCTAGTCCCTGTGAACCAGGTCTACGGGTGTCAGTGGCCAGACTCAACCAGTCTCTGTATTGCTGCTTTTCTCCTACTTCCACTCAAAAAGTTGATCCAGGTGGTTGCCTAGCAAGCATTTCAGCCTGTCCACAGGCTCCATTTAATGTTCACTTCTAGAGTGAATTCTAGGCTCGAATTTTTTTCTTGCTTCTCACAAAAACCACTAGTTCAAAATTCAAAAGTCCAAAGGGTTCCTTACCCACTCCCTTGGATCTGTCAATAGCTCCCTAGGCAAGTATCTTCAATTCAAAAGTCCTGAGATCTCAAGACACTGTGTGGGGCTTATCCTTTCAAAGTCGTCTTTTCAGGTGTGTCCAAACCCATTTAAATTCCAATTTAATGGCTCAAGGCAAGTGAGCTTACAAACTCTCTTTTTTACTTCCCAATAATCATTTCTATTAATCATTATATCAATAACTATAGGCAAAAGAAAACAGTATAAACCTATTAGGGTCAGATCCTAAACTCAATCTTAAAACAATCAAATGCAATCCTTATCTAAACTTATCCCATATGGCCTTAGGCCTCTGGCTGCATTGTCTCAAGCCAGGGCAGGACCTTCTGTCAGCCATTTTTACCTCAGTCAGCCATTTTCACTAAGCAGCATGGTCTCAGAGAGGTCCAAGGGGCAATTTTGCCACCCGAGCTCAAGATTCACATTTATCACAATAATTTTCACAAATTCAGACAGGATTAACCAAAGACAATTTCTAGAAATCAAAACTTTAAATTCCCACATTCTTTCCAGAAAACAGCCTAGTAAACTGTAAGGCCATATCTGACCTCTGGCTAGTCAAAGAAGAAAAACTCCCATGAGGCAGAGGCCAAACAAGCATCCACTCTTCATCTTCATGATTGGTTTCTCAAGTACCCCACTCCCAAGGTTTCTCTAGTCAGCCTGGCCTAACCCAGATACCCAGATAGAATGGATCAAATGACTAACCTAAAATCACATACATCTTGTTAATGGCAGCACCAGGGTAGGGCATTTGCTTTTCTTAACAAGGAAGATGTTTTCGCAGTTTTTACACAGGATATGGTTGAGATGCTCTTATGTATTAAATTGTGTCCCTCAAAACCATGTGTTGGACTTGTCACACCTATACATGTAGGGGTAATCCATTTGGAAATGTGTTATGTAATGAGGCCTACTAGCTTAGGGGATGCTTTAAATCCAACACTTCTGAGATATAAAAGGAGCAAGGCCAAACTGAGAAGACATGCTACATAAAGATTGCTTAGGAACATTGGGGTAACAGAGTAGAAGAAGAGAGAGCTTTCTCCGACAGCAGGTCTCCAGAATTCAGACTTCTACCCTAATGCACTATGAGAAAATAAATTTCTGTTCCTGAACACCACGCATCTGTGGCATTTCTGTTACAGCAGCACTAATACTCCAATAGTTCATAAGACTACAGTCCTTCAGCAAATCTTCTATGCACCTACTATTCACACATAGAAGGCATCATATTGGAATTATTCCAGAAATGTTGCAGCTTGGAAGAATTGCATCCTATACTACTATGGGCATGTGACATGACAGGTAGTATCTTAGGACTCAAACCCTTGTTAGAAGCAGGTGCTTTTTAACAACGATTGATAATATTGAATTATTTTAAAAGGTCTACCCACCGATACACATTGATGGTAATAATAATAATAATTTGTTGACCTTACAAGGTTAATGTGTCACCATTAAAAACAAAGTGAATCCAAGTGTTCAAATCATATTTCTACCATTTAAATTTTGAAGGTTTGACTATTTTTGCTTAGCCTTCTTCCCAATTCTGGTTGAAGACATTACACTGCTTATTGCACAGCTCAAAGTTCAAAAAGTAAAGGATAAAGACCAAAGACCCAAATTAGCTAATATCACAGCTGAAAAGTGGGATGGGGTGAACTTTTTGATGTCCCTTCGATGACTAATGCTGTTTCTTTAACCACAGTGTTGTGCTGTGGGTTATATGGCCTATGCAAGCAGGCAAAGGCAATCTGCTTTCCACAAACATAACTGCTTTTCCAAAAGGGTGAAATTCATACCAAAATCATAATTATTTCATGGAGCAACACTATTGAAGGAGTCTTATTTAACAAATAACTACTTTGGGAATAGAAATAGACCTCAAATTGTAACTAATTGGTTGGTTAATTGGTCTTCCCTGCTGAGGATAATTGCTAGAGTTCCTGCTTTGCAATCTATGGACCTGTACCTGTTTCCTATCGCCTGTTTGCACACTTCTCTGTTACTATTATAATCAGAGCCTGTGCTCTTCCTTCTGTTCCGTCTGTGGATGCAGAGAGGTATTTCCACAGTATTTTACAGAAAAGCCTTTTATTCCCTCTAGGATCATAACTTAAACCCTGATTCCGTCACCTCTAATTAATGCTGATATTTACTGTTATTCCCAAGAGTAATAGTTTAAAACAAGAGCCTGCATATTAAAAGAAACTTGAGGCTTTCAAGGTCATTTACTTAGCCCAAGTCAATGACATTTTCTCATTTCAGCTATAAAAGAAACTTGTTCATAAATCAATCACAGCATTTTAATGTATTAAATAAAGGATGGTTTTGAATCTTTTTTAAGGTAGGAGGAACTCAGATATTATGCTGGGTTAAAAAAAAAACAGGGTCATTTAAGTGCCAAATCATTCATTTCCTATGAAATTTCAGTAGGATATTTCCCATGTGTACATAAAGCTGAAGATAATTAATTTAGGTCCCCGTTATATGCTAAGCTATCCAATAATTTCTATCCATGTCATAGGTATATAATATCTGTCACTTCCTGTTATGAGACTATAACATGAAATCAATATCGGCAATAGGTGCACAAAATGCCAATAGAAGAAGTTATTTGAAAATAAAAACAAGAGGCTTTGTAAGCTTTGAGATGTATTACTCACCAAAAACAAAGTTCGGAAGTTGCTGAGATCACCAAAAAACTCTTCTATGTCCACTGTCTTAGAGTCAAAAATGAAATATTCTCCGAGATTCTCATAGAGCTTTAGCATGTTGTTGTACATGGTGAAGAGTTTGTCATATTGGTCTCTGGCGCTCTTTGTAAAGCTGTAGCTTCGTGTTAAGGAAGATAATCCAATAATATTGCAAAGACAATCACTAGATATTAAGATTGAATTTTAATATAATTTAAGCAATTATATCTTATAGTAAGATTGGTTAATAAAATTGAACATATATATACTCAGCACATATATTTAACGTAGGATTATACAGATAAGAATACCTAGAATGTTTGCTAAATAAAAACATATATATATACCAACCCCAAATCAAATCATATCTTAATGAAAAAGCAAGGAAGAAGAAAATAATATGAAAAAAACTTAGAATATATATCAATAAATATATTTTTCTCTGTGTGTACCGGGTATAAATAGTCTATATACATGTACATATAACAAATCAGTTGCCATTGAGTCAGTTCTGACTCATAGTGACCCTGTATGTGTCAGAGTAACACTGTTTTACATGATGTTTTCAAGAGTTGATCTTGTGGAAGTAGATCACCAGGCATTTCTCCTGAGGTCCCTCTAAGTAGACTTGAACTGTTAATCTTTGGGTTAGAGGACCAATGTTTAACCTTGTGTCACTCAAGGACTCCAGATATATAGATAGGTGGCCATGAATAGTCTCCACTCTGCTGTTCGAGGGACCTCATTTGAAATAGTACTGTCTTAGAAAATTAAGTAGAAGTAATTATCTCTATGAATTCATCAAATAGTTGTAGAATTTTTAACAAATGAGTGATGACAGTTAAAACAATAATTACCATGCTGCATTTATAAGTGTTCGCCCAAGACACAGAACCAAGAGAGACTTATCTTTAGTAACTGGCTCACTCAGTTGTGGTGCTTGGCAAATTAAAGTTTGTAGGGTCAACAGTCTGAAATGGGGTAGGATTTACTCTAGACCTATTCTCAATTTGCAAGAATTTCTTTGTTTAGAAAAAAAATTGAAGAACACACTCAGCATATGTGAAAGGAAAAAAAATCATGAAAAAATTCAAGCCTTTAATTGCAATTTTGAAAGATTCTCTAGGCAAAATATTGAGTGATGCAGTAAGCATCAAGAGTAGATGGAAAGAATACTCAGAGTCACTGTATAAACAAAACAAAGCAAAAACTAGTCAACAGTCCACCATTTCAGGAGGTAGCATATAAGCAAAAACCAATGGTGCCGAAGGAAGAAATTCAAATTGCACTGAATGTAATAACCAAAAAACAAGGCTCCAGGAATTGATCAAATACTCATTGAAATATTTTAGAAAGCTAAAGAAGTATTGAATGTACTCAGTTGCCCATGCCAAATAATTTGGAGACAGCTGCTTGGCCAACTGATTGAAAGAGATCCATATTAGTGCCCATTCCAAAGAAAGGTAATCCAACACAATGCTCAAACTACAGAACAATATCATTGATATTACACAAAAGTAAAAATTTGCTTAAGATCATCCATCAACTGTTGCAGCAGTACACTGACGTGGAACTGTCAGAAAGGAAGGCTGGCTTCAGAAGAGGAGGTGGAATGAGGGTATCATTAGGGATGTCCAGTGGATCTGGGATAAAAGCATAGAATACTAGTTAGATGTTTACTTGTGCATCATTGCTTCTTCAAAGGCATTTGGCTGTGTGGACCATAATAAACTATGGATAACTATGAGAAGGATGGGAATTCCAGAACACTTCATTGTGCTCATTCAGAACTTGTACATGGATCAAGAGGCAGTTATTCAAATATAACAAGGGAATACTGCATGGTTTAAAATCAGGAAAGGTGTGCATCAAGGTTGTATCTTCTCACCACACTTGTTCAATTTGTATGCTGAACAAATCACCAGAGAAGATGAACAGCATCAGGATTAAGGGAACTCTTATTAATAATCTGCAACATGAAGATGATACAACCTTGCTTGCTGAAAGTGAAGAAGAATTTAAGCACTTGCTGATGAATTACAAGGATTGCAGCCTTAAATATGGATTACAACTCAATGTAAGGAAGACCAAAATTCCCACAACTGGACCAATTGGTAACCTCATGATAAATGGAGAAAAGGTTGAAATTTTCAAGGATTTTGCCTTATTTGAATCCACAATCAATGCTTATGGGAGCAGCAGTCAAGAGATCAAAAAACGTATTGCATTAGATAAATCTGCTGTACAAAAGTTCTTTAGAGTACTGAAGAGCAATACTTTATTTTGAGGACTAATAATATTCTCCATTGTCTCATATGTATGTAAAAGTTGGACATAGAATAAGGAAGACCGAAAAAGAATGCATGCATTTGAATTGTGGTGCTTCAGAATAAAGTACCATGGACTGCTAACTGGACAAACTGATCTGTATTGGAAGTCGTTAGGCCAGAGTGCTCCTCAGAGGCAAGGATGGCAAGATTTCATCTTAGGTACTTTAGACATTTTGTCAGGAGAGACCAGTCCCTGAAGAAGGACATCATGTTTGGTACAATGGACTGGTGTCAAAAAAGATGAAGGCCCTAAACAAGATGGATGGACACAGTGGCTGCATCAATGGGTGCAGATATAGGTACAATTGTGAGGATGGCCCGGTGTTTTACTCTGTTGTGTGTAGTATTACTCACTATGGGTTGGAGCCCACTCAATGGGATATAACTATTATTTGCCTGCAAGGTAACGAATGTCTTCAGTTTCAGTTAGAAAATTATCTTAAGGCAGTAGTCTCAGGGGTTCCTCCTGTCTCTTTCAGATCAGGAGTCTGACCTTTTCTTAAAACATTTTGTTCAACATTTTTTACTCTTTCTAATGTGGCTTTCTATTGTGGTCCGGGTCAGAGTAGGTGGTAGTGGTAGCCAGGAACCAACTAGTTCTTCTGGTTTCAGGTTACAGGTGGCTGTGGTGCAGGTTGGCCAGTAGTCCTTTGGACTCATTGCTTACTTGAGTTTTCAGTTTCTTCATTCTTCTTTGCTTCAGGTGGGAAGGGATCAGTAGTTGCTTCCTAGGTGGCTGTTGTAAACTTTTAAGACCACAGATGCTACTCACTAATCTTGGATGTAAAACATCTATAATGGACTGTATTTGCCAATAAACCTAGATATTGCTTTCAAGTGCACTAGTTCTGCTCCAGTGCCTATGCATTTTCTGTAACTATGATCCCTATGTGCTCTATTATATGAGTATACTAGTAGTATGTACATCACAGTTGACCCAATGGCAATGCTTTTGGTTTTTTGGTAACATATACACATTTGTATGTAAAAATATTCACTCCAAACTTACTGCCATAGCAACCTTACAGAACAGGGTAGAAGTGCACGTGTGAGTTCCCAAGATGGTAACACTTTATGGGATTAGAAAGCTTTATCTGTCTCCCTTGGAGCTGGCTGGTGGATTCGAACTACTGACCTTGTGATTAGCAGTCCAACCTGAAATTACTATGCCACCAGGACTCTTAAATATATCCACAATTATACCCAAATCTGAAAATCATCAGTTTGTATTGTCAAGACCTTTTAAACCCCATCCATGCCATAGTGCATAGTCTGGATCTTTTAAAGGCAAATAATTGTATGTGCTAAACACATCTACAAATATCTACACAGTAACACCTACATACATGTTTGATTAAATAAAAAAGTGGATACGCTCGCCTAGTGAAGTTGGCACATAAAATGAACCATCCCATCCAACTACTAAAGCATAAAACAACCCTGATATATAGGTGTGTTTTACTAATGACATCTCACTATATGTATATCTATACTTACTAAGCAAACTCGTCCTTTTTTCTGGATTGTAGAAGATATATAATGATCTTTATAAGCAGTTTAAAAATATAGAAACAGAAATCAATTGACATTTCCAACAACTCAGATGTAAGTATTAGAAGCGTTCGCTTTCTGGTCTCTTTCTAACATGACTAACAACATTTGAATGTTAACTGACAAGACTGCTTCAGAAAATATTAAACTGGTTAACTATGAATAGCTAATGAAAGGAACCAAGTCAATATTTTCAATTTAAAAGCAATTCCATTAAAATCTCAATAATGATCACAGAAGTCAAATTTCTTTAGTTGGAAACAGCAGTAGACATGGAATTTTCAAAGAATAATAGCACAGTTTGGGGCATACTATTTTAAGATCCAATATAGTATTCCTCTTTTGTGGTGATACACTGTTACCAGGCACTGATAATTGTGACTTGAAATACTTGATTGTATAAGGGTTTCTGAATTCTTCAGTGTATTTTATTGTAACCAAGGGTTCAAGTTTGTTTTCCATGGGCACACAACTCTAGTTTTACAATGGAATTCAATGGGGAAATCAGACCATTTCTGGATAATTACTTTACAGCTGACACTTATGCAATATATCCTGATTTCAAAAATGAGATGCCCCTTACCAATGCTCCAGTAATGATGCATAAGTATTAGCATTCACACTAACAACGCAACAACCTCTTCCCTGTGAATAAGCGGGATGAACTCTTTCAACCCTGGCAGCCATTTCGGTGTCAAAAGATATGAAAGAGTTCATGTTATTTTGTTTGTTTGCTTGTTTTTTTTTAAACAAACTATAGTGTTTTAGGTGCCCTGGTATCACTGTCTGGCAAGCATTAGACTATTAACCAGAAGGTCTAGAGATCAAACCCACTAGATGTTCTGCAGGAAAAAGATGTCGCAGTCTGCCCCTGAAATAATTTACAAAGACTCAGAAGCCCTATATTGGGTCGCTATGAGTTGGAATCAACTCTATGGCAGTGGGCTAGGTTGTCGATTGTCTTTATAGGAAAAGAAAAATAATGGTTACCTAGTACCTCATGCTTTATGTACATTTTCATTTTACATTCAGCTTATCATTATACATTTTTCCCTTTTAAACGAAATGTTAAACATTCTGTTTATGTATTGCAGAAATAAGACAATACTCCTTATTTCTTAACACAGAATGAAAGGCAGAAATGTTTTCTGGCTGTTTTTTCCTAAATGAAACAGACTCATGCTAGAGACTTGCTAGGCAGAAACGCTTTGCAAAGGTCACTTACTTGTAATCAATTTGCATTGCAAAGTACGA